ATAGACAGACAGATAGATAGATAGATAGATAGATAGATAGATAGATAGATAGATAGATAGATAGATAGATAGATAGATAGATAGATAGATAGATACATATGGGTTATGATTAGTTCGGTTATATATCATGTTAGGCCATAGCGCGGTCCCGTTTAGTGCATGTTAAAGGCTTTTTTACACACTTGATCTACTGAACTAACATAGGTGGTCGTTCCATATGGAAGTCAACAGTGTCGAAAAAGGGTTTCATAACGCATTATACACAGACATAAAACCGATTGATAAAGTTCAAGTATGAGTTTTACTGCATTCGCAAATCAATTAGTCCGTAGGTGCTGAAGACAAAAGGATTTACCATAGAGTAACATACAAAGAGAAGAAGTTTGGAGCTATAGACGGTAAATGTTTGACAGACAGAAGGACTAATTTCCATCCGATCACCCGCAATCACCCACGTTCGCGCCAAAGAGAAGTGCATCAATACTTCTAATTGACAATACAAAAATATACAACAAAAATAAACCCCAACAATGTGTTCTCATTTGCAACACTGACTCAGTTTATTGGTACACATAATACATGGAACTCCGTAGATTATTCATGATAACTTCATTTTGAAGGTGGGTATGACAATGCAGTTGGAAACCATCATAATCATGGTGAATGCGTCTCTTTCAACGAGGCGTAACCACTCTTGGTACATATACCGAAATCATAATGCAGACACATCTTTAGTTATAATTTAACAGTGTGTAATCGATAATATCTTCTTCAGACCTGTGTTCTGAAGAAGAAAAAATAGGTAAAAGGACGTAACATGATAAATAATGTTTTCAGAGTGTCTATTTTCCTCAATTTCATTGAATGGTGGCGTTTTGGATTCGAAAGTAAAAAAGATAGAGCGGTTTCTGTTCGTGGTGACTTGAGGAACCGCTCAGGGACATCACACGCCATGTAAAGATTGCTTTTGACGGAATCCAAATAGGTCCGGTTACCATTGAGATAAAAGGTAACAGTTAGATACGTTGTTTTGACTGCTCTAATACCTTTAGCAAACATATCGATAACATACACACACACACACACACACACACACACACACATAAACACAGACACACACAAACATACACATAAACTTACACACACTCACACACTTACACAAACACATAAACACAGACACACACAAACATACACATAAACTTACACACACTCACACACTTACACAAACACATGATATCACACTCTCTACACTCTCGCGCGCTCTCTCCCTCTCTCTCTCTCTCTCTCTCTCTCTCTCTCTCTCGCTCTCTCCCTCTCTCTCTCTCTCTTTCTCTCTCTCTCTCTTTCCCTCTCTCTCTCTCCCCCCCCCCCTCTCTCTCTCTCTCTCTCTTTCGATCTCTGTCCAAGTGCTTTTATCTCTAAATTGTCCAATGAAAATTTAAATATTGTCTTGTGTTTTGGTTGCACTTATGCAAATTGAGGGTAAACTTGGTTTATCAACAAAAGAAGATAGTTGTCATGCTTTTATAACTAAACTATCCGAGCAAAACTGATTTGAAATATCCAAATAATAACAACACATTCCTCTTTAAACAAAGATAAAGAGGGACTGCATTAAAATCCCATAAATAGTATGTTTTGTTTGCAGCAAAGTCGCACTCATTGTGTAAAACAAGAATTTCTTAACAGACAATTTCTGCACCTACAAAGACAGCTCAACACGCTATCTTTATATTATTATTTTATCAGAGACAGACTGGAAACAATGCTCACTGTATTTGAAATAATATGCTACATGCGCGTTGTAAGAGCCTTAAAACTGCAGATACATAACGACAATGTGTTGCCAACAGGCTTGTCTCGTCTCTGATTTATGTTAGTAATTACGAAGGATTGGGAGACGTATTTCTTCCGAGGAGATAATCTTCTACAGTAATGAGAATATATAATGAACGAACTAAAATAAAGCATTTGTGTGTATAGTTCTATGTATATAATATAATGTATGTGTGTGTGTGTGTGTGTGTGTGTGTGTGTGTGTGTGTGTGTGTGTGTGTGTGTGTGTTGTTGTTGTTTAGCTTTGGCTGCTGCTGCTGCTGTTGTTGTTGTTATTGTTGTTGTTGTAGTTTTTTGTTATTGTTTTTAGTTGTTGTTGTTACTGTTCGTGTAGTTCTTATTGATGTTGTTGTTTTTTAGTAATGTTTCTTTGGAAGCCAGAATTAACGATACGCTGAACCATGCTTTGATTTTATTTTCGAAAAAAATGTCTCTTGAGAATATGCAGCTGATACCATAGATTACCAAACTTCTATGATGATGATGATGGTGATGATGATGATGATGATGATGATGAGGATGATGATAAGGATGATAACGATGATGATGATTGGTTGATAACAATAACACCGTAGCAGCGTAGAATGCAATAACTATGAAGTCAAAGAATCAGAGCTACACCGAAGTCCTACTATCCAAATACACGGGCAAGGTGGTTGTTCTTCTTTATACTAATAATTAATTAAATGTCATCAACTCGTGAATATTTAATAAAAATATGTTTTGGGAAAAAATATTAATATGTTTTGACCTATCGAAATAAAAATATGCCTATCAAACTTCAATGATTGTAGTATGTTTTTTCGGGTTTATTTGTGTTTACGTTCTTTTTACACCTGTAAAGACGCTTTATTTGTGTGTTGTTTTGTTTGTTTTCTTTTACGCATGAATTATCGTTTCAAAGGCGCTGGTTCTGTTGTTTTGATTGTTTTTCTTTTATACACGAACATTCATTTCTACACTTGCAAGGATGGGAATATACCGTTTTGCTCCTAGACTCTGAAAAAGGAAACATCAATTGAAAATGAAGAGAATAAAAATGAACGTGGTTACTTAGACTTCCACGTGGACAATCTAAATGGAATGGCATCACAATACATAATAATTTACTACCTTAAGCTAACCAGCATATCATAATGATAAAATATCAGTGTATTTAACAAAGGGCTCTGATTGGATATGCGTATTCTAGGTTTTACATCGGCACAACAATGTCGTATACAAAGGGCTATTATACATCACAATATTGCTTGATCACACTTTGTATTTAACCTAGTGTTACATGCACATGTATCTGGAGACTTCCAACTAACTTGCAAACTGACGCACATTAACATTTTACATCACAGAACTGAGCGTCTTAGAATCAAGGTCATTGGTAGGCTGATCAAGTATTATGTTCCAGCCTCGTGTAGCAAAATTGTTTAGGAGAGAGAGAAAAAAACACAACCTCGCACTTAATAATTATATAACCAACACTTTGTATTCTTTTTTAAGCTTTTTTTCAACATCTTGAATTTGAATTTCGAAAAAAATGTCTCTTGAGAATATGCAGCTGATACCATAGATTACCAAACTTCTATAATAAAAAAAAAAAGGTCAGTAATTCTCTAGTAGAAGCAAGACTGACAGCTAAGGTTCCAGAGCCAGATCAGACTAGCGATGAAAAGATTGCCGTCTTCAACCTTTGGTTAATCGACAGGTTATCTAAGTGAATTCAAATTTATAGTTGGAGGAGGGGGGGGGGGCACAGTTAGTGTTTTATTCACTGAATTTGCCTTCCGCTACTTTTAAGAACAAGCCTTTGATCGTTTTTTAACGGGAAACGCTGCTTGGTTTTAAATTCTAGGGTGGCTTTCTGGCTTTGCTCAGATTTTAAAAAAAAGTTTACCAAAGTAAAATGGGTTACTTGTTATCAACATCGATAAAATAGAACCGTTTTATGAATCTTACATTCGCCCCATTTATAGAATTTTATAAAAATGATCTCGTCTAGCAGTCTATCAGGTAAAAATAGAATTCATACTGGGTGAACTCTTTCATGAGCATGACATAATGTCCTATCTTCAATACGCGTTCATATGACCTGATGCCATCCCGATCACCGTAAATCTCTCATCAAACAATCCACCTTCAGTAAAAGTAGCTACGATTACTTTAGAAGAAGTTTATGTTATCAAAATATACATCTGTCACTACCTGGGTGACCCCAACCTCCCCTCAAAATTACCCAATCGCCCAGGTCAGCAAATCAAGGGGAGAGCTGGTGACGAACTTTCCCATCGGGTAAACATACAAGGCTTATCAGAAAATGAAGTCTGACGAAGTCACTCTCCCTTCCCCACCCCCTACCCTCGTGTCAGAAGCACATGCTTCTTTATAATGTGCTGAATCCACAGCCTCCGACAAGTAACATTCTTCCAAACGGCAAACAATGAGAACATGACAGTAACCAGAGCGGGTTCAAGAATTTCCAAGCGTGTACTTTAGATTTACAAGAACAAACTTAACTTCAAAATTCCAACAAGATTTCTTTAAATAGTCAATTGCAATAAATCAGACCTAAGCCCGTGTACAATATACTTAATAAAGACAGTTGTAAATAGATAAAGTCAGTCATACACAAATCAATAAGATAAGAATAGATTATCCTACTCACAAGCATTATCACTCACCACGCCATTTTTGCATTCCTCAAACTACCCAAATTAAAGAAAAGGAAACTCAGTCATTTCTAGAGTTGAATGTGAATCAACGACAGAAAGGCTCATCATAATAATATGCACATTCATTATCTTAGTTATTATTTATCCTTTACATTCTTACAACAGGAGGCCAGAAGGCAGACCATGGAGTCGGTGAACAAAAATTCGAAACTATTTTTATTTTAGCTGATTTGATCAAAAGAAAAGAGAGGAGTTCGAATGCTATAAAAGTGTATGGATTTATTTTGTTCCTTTTTTATTCATGTTTTTTTTTGTGTCTGACATTTTTGTTGTTGATCTCTGTTTTGTTTTTCAATGGAGAGGAATAAAAACGGGAGGGGGGGGGGGGGGGATTTTGTTTTGTAAACATCTTTTCTAAAAGCATGAATACATTACAAAAGTTACATTAAAGAATAGTGGATGTTGAAGCCGTCATCTTACAACGAGTACTAAATATAAAAAGTACTCTTGATAACAGTCTACAGTTGTTCTAAATCTAAAAGCTATGTTTTCTTTTGTATGAAATGCATGAAACGTAGCGTAATTTCATATTTATAACGACAAGGTTAAAAATAATATTTTGATGTTTCTATTCAGATCAGTGATTCATCTGAAGAAAGAAAAAAAACGTGATGATCAAAGTGAAAAGTTTGTCTCTGTTTTTCTTTCTTTTTTTTTTTAAACAATAGTTTATGAAATCTAATATTAAAAAGATGAGGTGATCGAGACTGGACACCTACGTTTTGACAAATGTTCGCAATAGCCATGATACTTCGAACAAATCAGTTCCTCACTCTTATTGATTCGTTGAGAACCACGCCATCATCGCTTTATTTAAACAGAAAAAAATATTTGAAGGAGTAGCGGTGTTTCTACAAACAAAAACTAAAACTAAACATGTCGATAAATTCTGATCATGGTCTTCTTTTGTCTCCTTCTGTGCGGGACTGGATATTTCCTCTTAAGTTCAATCTCTATGGCTTGGGGTTTGGTCATTCGTAGTAGTCGTATCCCTCCTCCGACTGTGGACTGCCTCCGCCATTTTGATTGTAGCTCACGTACTTGACGGGACACTGGTCATTCATGATCAGACTCTGTGGACAGAAGAAAGAAATGCAGAATTATTTGTTTAAGTTTAAGGTTTGACGCCCCAATCAACTCTGTCAGCTTATTTGAGAGGTGGGACCTTGAACTATTCAAAATCGTAAGTTATTTGGTCACTTTTAAGCACATGGGGGCTATCCCTAAAAATGCTCTTTTGAGTTCTTTAAAAGACCAGGAGAATTTTCTCTACAACCAAACAAATATACACACCATTGAAACCAAACTTCTCTTTTATGTAAGGCAATGTCCACTTTTGATGAAGGTCAAGATTTCTGGAAATCTGGGTTAGCGCGCTGGTCATTAAAAGACCTTCAAATTTAATGTCGATCTCCAATAGAACACACCTTAATGGGCGGATAGCCTCATAGAATTCCAAAAGCTACCTCTGGTGGGGAGTCGAAACAGGCCCATATGTTTTGCACCATACCAAGCTAGCTAATGACACGCCCAGAGAAAAAAACAACCCAAGGCGTGATTATTGCATGCTGTGGCGCTTTAAAAATCAGTGCTCGCCTGATTGGGTGATATCGTGGGGATCACCCAAATAGCGACAGGTAGAATTTTATGTCCGGCTTGGTGGTTAGGGGGAGGGAAGGGGAGGGGATATGAAATATTGTTAGTGTCTTAAATTAAAAGTGGCAAAACTGTGATTTTGCATACTTTTTTTTAAAAGCTCGCTGACAAGCACTACTGTAGATCATTGCAGAGGTTTTCACTTCTTTCATCAGCATTCAGGCAGTTGAACGGTGGTACACCGTAAAATGCATTTAAAACTGAGTAAGAAGTCCGCTCATTGTTGAAGAGAAAAAACGCAGTCTTAAACAGCTGGCTGTCTCACAATGTGTGACCATACCGTACAAAAATACTCAAGGGAAAAAATGGGAAGTGGCCGTTTTCACAGGTAATTGTCTTATGCAGTTGGCCATAGGAGCTGACATAGCTTTTCCTAAAATGAGCTGGCTTATTTTGGGGTGCTTTATATCAATTATGAAAAGGCTTATCCAAAGACTCACCATCTTCTCTTCCCTTGCTGGAGGATTCCTCAGGAAAATCAGTAGTGGCGCATAGAGAAGGTTGAAGATAGCGATAATCCACAACATCCTGTTTAGAAGCAGAAAATGTTTCAGAGATTACAGGGATTTTCTTTTTTCCCGATGTCACCGGTAGCCGTCACATATGTTGTAAAAATGGTCATCCTGGGCGATTTGGGAATTTTGGTAGGCGGTGGAGATCACCCAAGTAGCGACAACAGCCTTCCCCCCCCCCCCACCCCCAACTGAAAATACAATGACTAGTAAGTTGTCCATACGAAACTGTTAGCCTCTAAAAGGTTTCTAAAGTGGATGTTGGCTATAAAACGAAGGACAGACACCGTTTTTACACCTTTTCCCAATCAAATATAAAAATAATGAGTTCACACGCAGAAATGAAAGTTCAAATATCAAAATTGTCAAATTAATTCAACATTGAGAGTTCAAATTCAGCACAATAGAAAACGTATGCAAATTCCAACTAAAATGTAACCTCTGAGAGCTCAAATGTTAACATTAAGGAAATCAAATTCGTCATTTTGAGCTCTAATGCAGCATAGGAAAGTTCAGATTTAACAATACGAAAAACTACGTAGCTATGAATTAAACCATCATTTCCAATGTGCTTATATGATATTAGTCTGTTTAAACTTTTATCTTTAGCTCACATTATTAAATTGATAAATACGCTTATTTATAGAAAACGTGTTTGTTATTTCAATCAAATTTTAAACTTACATTTAAGCTTTTTTTAAATAGAAAATATATTGGTTATTTAAATCAAATGAAGAGTGAAAATTGGAATAGAAGTTTTGAAACAAATAATAATAAGGTAATCCAAATACCCAGAATATAATCAACTAGTTATGTTGACACAACATAGACAGAGAGAAAGAGAAAGAGAGAGAGAGAGAGAGAGAGAGAGAGAGAGAAAGAGA